CAGGGAACCAGCATCAATTGTCTCAGTAAAACAATTTGACTTCAGTAGTGCTAGTCTCTTGTTGATCACAGCTGAGTCGTCAGCTCCAACTAACCAGAATGAAGGATTCTTCATACAAAATATCCTACAAATAGCGCTGGTAGAGTCTTTGTTTCCTTCTTAAACTGATCAAGCCAGTCTTCTGTTATCTTTATCTCTTTCAGCATTTCTATCTTTCAAGCTCCTAAAAGCCCACTAAGCTTTGATCAAGCAATTGCTTTCCTAGCTCAAAGTTCCAAAGTCCTTCCACAATCCTCTTCGAAACAATGAGTTCAGGTCTGTCACAGTAATATCTCAAGAATCTGATACCAATTTCTGTTTTATGTTTCTATTGCTTTAATAAAGACCATGATAAAATCAACTTCTGGAGGAAAGGGTTTGTTTCAGCTTACAGTTTCACAATCACAGTTCATCATCAAAGGAAGTCGAGGCAGCAACTAACTTAGAGACCATGAAGGGGTGCCACTTACTGACTTGCTCCACATGGGTTGTTCAGCCTGCTTTCTTATAGAACTGGAACCACCTGCCCAAGGATGGCACAACCCACAGTGAGCTGGGCTCTCTCTCATTATTAAGAAAGCCCTAAGACTTGCCTGTTTCTGATGGAAGCAGCTTCCCAGATGTTGTTCTTCTTCCCAGATAACTCTAGATTGTATCAAATTCTAAAGCAAACAAACAAGCACAGCACTCTACATCCATGTCATTTTCTTTCTGTGTGTGTTTCTCTACACCAAAGTTCTCCTTTTTATATTATATGGGTAATATTAGAGGCCTGCCCTACTACCCTCATTTAAAACTGATTTCCTTGTTACTAATTTGACAATGTTTCTAAATGAGGTCAGATTCTGAGGTAATAGGGGTTAAGACTTCAATATATAATATTTTTGAAGGGACACACCTGAACCAACAGCAGACAGAGGATAAAATATTGAAAAAGAAGTGGAGAAACGGAGATAGTAAATGTTGTCAGAACTGTAAAATACTTAATTGTAAGGAAAGCTGAATTAGATAGAGAGAAGCAACAGTTTGGGGGTAACCAAAGAAGAAAGAAGAGAATTAAGCATGGAATTAATATGGGAAGAGGGATGAGCAAAGAAGTTAAAGGTCCAGGTGGGAAGATGGATCTAAATCTGACAATACAAGAAGAAATGGTAGTAGGAACTCTCATGAAAGGAGTAATGTTAAATCAGAAAAAGAAAACTTCCCAGACTGAGACTGAAGGGACTGGTAGATGTGAATCCAAATGTTTCCAGAATTAGTATCATCAGTATAAGAGATGGTAGTCTTCTGAGTGATTATGTGAAGGTGAATTTTGGTTCTCATTTTAATTGAACCAAAAAATTGGTAGAGATTTGTGAAACACTCATTTGGTTGGGTCTGTGATGACATTACCTTAGAAAGTTAAGGCAGGAAGATCTATTCTGTATGTAGACAGCAGCATCCTATATACTGGAGTTCCAAATAAAGAAACAAATATATAGGTATTACTTCAGTCAACTTCTTGAACACTATTAGGAATTGCTTGTTTTATTACTCCCTATGCATCACATGTACTGAAACCATGTGATAAACTCCAGATAAAGCTTTCCTTCTCTAAGTTGTTTATTGATATTATTTATTTTGTCATAGGGACAAGAAAAGTCACCAATCTAGATGGTAAGAGCAGGATTCTAGAGTTAGTCTTAAGTTCAAATTTTAGTCTGATCTGTGACATTTGAAAAGCTATTTTAACATCTTTCTGTGACCAGCCTTGAAGATTTACTAACTCAATGTGTTATATGTACTATACACAAGTATTTGGCAATGCCATTATTACTACTATGTAAAATATCAGTTAAAATGAGCTGTTGGTAGTAAGGTACAAAACAGATGAGATTTAAAGAATGTGATAAAATGTGTAGTTGTTCACCAAAGTTACAGTTTTTGGAGCTACAAAATTAAATAGATTTAAAAGCTGCAATACAAAGAGTTAAACAACTTTCACCAACTCTGTTTAGCATCTACTGGTCAAATAGCAGAAGAGGTGGATTCCAAGATGGTATATAGTTTAGTGGTTTTCAGCTTTAGTGAACATGAAAATTATTTGAAGTTATTAAATTGTATATGACCAATGATATAATATTGTAATTACTTAGTGATGATAGAGTTAAACCCATGGTCTTTTGTATATTAGAAGAAAATTCTATCAATAAGCTACAAAATATCTTTGTAATTCATGATTTTGGTTTTCATTTTCCTAATAGCTGATAATGATAGATTATTATGTTCTTATTTATACTCTTATATCATCTTTAGTAAATTGTCTGTTCAAAGTTTTGTTCATGTTAATTAGGTGATTTGTTTTTGTTTTGTTGAGTTGTAAGAATTCTTTATTATTTTATCAAAAAACAAATAGAATTAAGAATGAGCACATGATTCAAGTAAATACTTCTCTCCCAATATGCACTTAAAAACACCAGTAAATGACAGAGAAAATTTTTATCATCATTAGACTTCAGAGAACAGGAAATAAGAAGTTCAATAAAATAGTATATCTCCTTCACTAAAACAAAATTAAGAAAAAAGATACCTAGTTTTTATAAGAATATTGGAAGTAAAATCTACACAGTGTTGTTTGATGGTTCCAATGCTTTAGAAATCAGTTTGTGAATTCATCCAGTTGTTAAAAATTGAAATTACTATATAATTCAATTAATTTCATTATAGGTTAAACACCCAAGATAAATGAAAACATACCTCCATAGAAAATCCTGTATGATAATTGATAGCACCAGTTTTTAGGATTCAGTGAGGTCTCATACATGCTAGAAAAGGACTTTACTAGCATGACTTTACTGAGCTACAATTACAGTCTTTAATGTTACTATTATTCATATTTATCTCAAAGTAGAAATGCCAAAGTATTTACCAACTGATGAACTGATGAGTAAACTGTAACATGTCTATAAAATATCATATATGTTGGCAGTAAAAAGTAAATTGTGCAGCGGCATGTATGGACCATGAAAATGTTTTGAAAATGAAATAATGTAGTAAGCAAAAGACAATAAAACATTTGATTCAATAATATGAAATGTTCAGAATGAGATAGAAAGCAAGTTTGTGAGTGCATTGGGATGGTGAGTAAATTAGACTGTAACAAGAGTATAGGGGTTTGTTGATTGTAATGAATTTTTCTAAAACAGATCATGGTAGTAGTTACAGAACTATGTGAATGTATGTTATTTTCAAGTGCAATATTTTATAGTTTTATTGTTTATTTTAATTGAATGTTTATGGGCTATAATGTAATAATTCTTTCTTGTTATAAATATACAATGATCAAATTGGAGTAGTTAGATATGAGCAAATTGCAGGGTATGTAAATCATACCTCAGTAAAGTAGCTATAGAAGGTCAATACAGGAATAATTGGAATTGGTTGGAAAAGGCAAGGTCAGAGGCGGGTCGCTTTTCCTGGGGAGATATGAACAGAGGTCTGTTCACCACAGATATTGAAGTGACAAGTGGTTAAGCCAACCACTCCACCCAAAATCTACCTTTGTGAACTAATGAGTTTATCAGAGAACTTTCAGCAGCAGTGATGGTTCAGGGGTTACAGGAACACAAACTATTCAAAAATAGTAGAACCATTGCTAATCTTACCGTAGTATAGGTGATGACTCACCAAATTTGCATTGGTGGAGCTTCCTGCATACTTTCTACTTTCTTGCAGTTGTTACTGTTTATATAACTTCTGACAGCAAAGGTTCCCAAGACTTGTGAAGTTTGTTTAGTTTCTGAACCTTGCAAGTTTTTTTTTCCCCCCTGAGTTTTAAAAGACCTTCTTCCTTCCTTCATGAAAGGATGTTTCAATTAAGTTCACAACAGAACAGGATTGCTTATTAACAGTGTGATTGGGTAAACAATAGGCTAAACTAGAGTAGAGGTAGTTGAACTTGAAAGGACAAGAGGGGAACTATAAAATATATTGTAAAAGGGTGAGAAATATGAGTCAACGGTTAAGAGCAAATGCTTCTCTTTAGAAGATGTGGTTTGCAGAACCCACACCAAAAAGCCCACAGTCATCTCTGACTCCAGCTCCAAGAGATGTAATGGTGCCTTCTTATATAGATGGCCACCAACCCTCATGAGAACATAAATTTAAAATTAACCTTAAAAAATATAACAATAAGATTGATAAGATGTAGTACTTCACTGGATGTTGAATAGGTAAATGTTAAGTGTCAAAGAAAAATAAAGTTTTGTATCTTGTCAACAAGGAGAATAGGTATGTTATTGAACATTAGAGGCCCAAATTTACTTCTTCAAAGGAAAAAGCTAAATTTATAGCAATTTTAGGTTGTGTTTGTTCCTGATGATTAAAACTAGGGCATAATACATATCAACATGCTCTACTAGTGAACTTTAATCCCCAGTAGATTTTTTTAAATTTTTATCTGCTATTAGGACAGTATTAAAATAATACCTAGTGTTTAATTAAAATTTTGAGGTGAACTCTTAATAACAAGAAAGGTTTGGTTTCAAGTATTTAAGATTTTTCAAGACATAATTCATAATATGTGACTGAAATCTTCCATAGAGTGTTGAAAGGAAGGAAAGAAATGAGTAAAGGGGTTATGGAAACAAGTTTCATTAGGAGGCAGTAGCAGGAAATAAAGACGAGCACGAAACACAAATGATATATCATTATATCTACTAAAAATAGCAGGAGACCTACATTACCACAGGATTAAGCCTGAGCTTTTGTGTACTGGGAGGATAGAAGTGAAATGTTGAGGGTTTTTTTTTTTTTCCAAGAAGGGAGAAAAAATTGTAACAGAAATAAAATGGAGCCTGGTGTGAGAATGATGGAAAAGGATCTTAAGGGTACTGAGACTCACATACTCACCTAAAAGGGATATCTAGAAATTGACAGAGATGTCTAACTTGGTCCAATCAGACCTTCCTTACTATCCTTAGGTGAAGTACTTACTTACCAGTGGAACATCCCAGAAAGATCTGGTCCTGGACCCAGTGACTCTTCTTGTGTTTCCTGGATTTATTATTCTGCAGTGGATCCTATCAAGGTAACAAAAAAAAAATTGTATATTGAAAGAAGGATCTCAGAACTGGGCAAATTACCTGGCAAAACAACAACTACAAAAGATGTAGTCAGAAACAAGCAAACAACAACAACAACAACAACAAAAAACAGTTCTGTAATGTCTGAGATTTGAGAAAACTTACTCAAATGTTTACTTTATTTTAATAGTCAGAAGGAGGGAGAAGGCAGTGTGTCACACCAGATACTTGTGATGAGCCTTTTCTTTCTTGTCTCATCCTTTTGGATCCTGTAAAGCAGTATGGTCTCATATTTTAAAAAAGTGGGCATTGTTGTCAGGAAATCAGAGGTATGGTCATGAATTTGGCTCTAGAGTGTCTTTGGAATAACTATAATAAAGTCGTGCTGCCTCTGTTTCCTAATCTAGAAGATGAATTTTGTCTGTGTAACCAATTAATTACAAGTCATCAGCAATATGTTGTTTCTACTCTAGTATGAGTATATTTCTTAGTGTTATGGATGATACAGATGTAAGGTATCTTTCCTACTTTTAAAGTATATGGTCCAGTTGTGCAAAAGAGAAGGAGAAAAGGTGTAAGAATGGAAGCTACCTGCAAGCTGGACTTTGAAATCTAAACAAGAGTATGCTATAGATAAGGAGTGTGTTAGAAGAAGGGCATTGCAGGCATAGCAAACTACCTAAACACAAATCAGGTTAGTATATTTAAAAATTAATGAATAATTCAATCTAGGTAAATTATATACCATATATCAACTGTGTCTTAAATGATTATTAGAATGTATTCAGATATCAGAATGAGATGCGTAGGAATATAAGGCATTCATAATGAAGTACTAAGGGACATAAAGTCTGCTTATTTGTGGCCCAGCTCTCTATAGACTACTGCCATCGAGGATTACTCTCATGTCTTCCTTCCTTCTGCCTTTCTCCCACAGGACATGTATAGTGGCTTGGTGGGACCCTTACTGATCTGCCGAAAAGGAATCTTAGAACCCAATGGAGGCCGGAAAGATATGGACCGGGAATTTGCTTTGTTGTTTTTGATCTTTGATGAGAACCAGTCTTGGTATCTGAAGGAGAATATTGCAATATATGGGTCCCAAGAAGCTAGCCATGTTAACCTACAAGATGCAACTTTCTTGGAGAGCAATAAAATGCATGGTCTGTAGAAAAGAAGCTAATCTTATTTCAAAGTAGTCCACACTGGCTTCATGAGATGATCAGCTAGCTTCACCTCTATCTATGGGTGCATAATTCAGAAAAAGATGAGAAACTTTAGACAGTTGAATGGAAATGACTTAGAAAAAAATCATTGTTATTCTACACATACTAAATAAAGGAAGATGGGCATTTATGGCCTTCTATGTACACAATTAGCACCTGATAAGTGCCCCTCTGTTTCAAAATTTTGAGTTTGTTTTCCTCGCCAATGCTTGTTATTTAACCACCAGTTTAAATTCTGGATCTGTTTTGTCAATACAGACCAAGGAAGGACAACTTGTTATTTTTACTACTTTAAAAGCAAAATTAAATTTGCATAGAGTAGGTGGAGAAGACAACCACAGAGAATAGCACACTGAGCTTATGTTACCTGCAATAAATAATTTTTTGATTCTTGAATGGATTTGGGGTGGGAAAGGTGTATCATCAAAGCCATCCTTGGATCTAGATACCTGGTAGCTCACCACAGAATAAGAAAGTCTCAAATGAGAGGGAGTTTAAGTGCAGTGGAATGTATGAAGTGATCTCTCCCCAGCACTCCTTGTCCAAGATTTCTTTGATCTTAGAGTGAGGTGCAGCTTTGATCATGACTCTAATGGAACTCAAAAGTGGTATCCCATTGTCCTTTAGGTTTTTATCTATTTCTCCTTGATAGAAAGATGAGTGATTCATGCTAGAACAGATGATTCATAACTTTACAAAGTGAACTTTTTTTTTTTTTTTTTTTTTTTTTTTTTTAGTTTCTGTCAAATCAAGGAAATAAATGGGCTAGAACAAAGAGGAAATGGGGGCACAGTTAGGTCCTCCCAATTCAGGATTTGGCTATTTTCCACTTTCATCTACTCAGGTGTCCATTTTTTTCAAACTTCAGCTATCACTCTACCTACCTAGCTAGCTAGCATGTATTTTTGAACACTTTCTGAGCTCTAGTATTATAAATACAAAGAAAAATAATGGTGTAGTCCAAGGGGACAAGTAAACAATATTCTACCTCCTCCTCCTCTACATTCCTGAATCAACTGAGAAAAATAAATGGTTAAGATAAAATATGAGCCTTATTACTGAGAATGCTAATTGAAAAACTGAATTTCATTCTGTAACTAAATATAATTGCTGATACTTTCCTTGCAATGGATAGGTTTTCTAAATTGTCATTGGCATCAATGGACAACGAAATTTCTCTGTATTAGGAGAAGCAGAATCATACCCAGAACCAATTAGTGAACCAATTTGCACCCTTTTCTGTGATCAAAGAGATTAAATATCTAGAAGTGGATGAGCTGAGCAATTTTAGTTTTTTTTTTAAACCAAATCCACAATTTGATGTTGCTAGACATAGCTATTCCTTCCATTATTTTTCCTCTTGAAGAGTAGAGTAGAAATTATCCCCCACCTGTGAGAAAATGAGATGTGAGAGGAAACGGTTTTAAGTAAAATCCTACTGATATGATTAATGTAACAATGAATAGTTCAGTGTCTTTCAAAGTCAGCATAGGATGTGACTTTTGAAGCGAATGTGTTAATCAAAGCAATGTATATGTTGTACTCTGAGTTATCTGATGTAGTTCTGCAAATGTGTGAGGAACCTATTGCACTTTAGTATAGAAATTTATTTCCTGCTTATTAGTAACCTAAGAGAAGTTGGCAACTTAAGCTTTCACACCATAAAAGATAAATAAACCTAGAAGACAGATTTTAGAGAGTTCTAATGAATCATGCTGAGGAGTATTAGAGGAGTTCAAAGGGGAAGGTGATATAAGAAATTGAGGTTACATAGAGGAGGGAGCTTAGGAAATCAGAAAAGTTTTCTTGAGGGAGGTGAAGTTTTAAAGAGAAATAATAAGGAAGAAATATTTATGAGAGGGAAAATTAGAAAGCTAAGGATGTAAAATACATAAGTAGACTGTGTGAATGAAAATGAAAGAAAAAAATCACATTAGTTGGAATCAGTGCTGTTTATAGTTGGTGAATATGGGAAGGTGATATGGAGATGTATTTTGAATGAACTTATTGGCTGACCTAGAGAGCCGTGGGATTGTTGTTAGGGAAAGGGGGATCCACTAAGGAAGAGGAGAAGGAGGAGGGCAGGCAGATTGGGAGGGGATTAGGAAGGGAGCTACAGCTGGGATACAAAATTAATAAATTGTAATAAATAAAAAGAAAAAAGTGAAAAATTTAGCTTCAGAATAACATGGACAGAATAATTGCTTAGAGAGAGATAACATTGTATCATTATTATGGAAGAGACACTGGAAAGGGAGAACAAATTAATAGCCTGTTGCTTTCATCAGAAATAATAGGAATTATACCTAGGGCAGTGGAAAAGGGTAAATAAAAGGAAAGATATGAGGCATTTTCTTCTTTTACAGCCATCAACGGGAAACTCTATGCTAACCTCAAAGGTCTTACTGTATTCCAAGGAGAACGTGTAGCCTGGTACATGCTTGCCATGGGCCAAGATACTGATATCCACACTGTTCACTTCCATGCAGAGAGTTTCCTCTATCAGGTGAGCTGAGAATATGGCTGAACCACTTGGGGATGATTAAAATAATGTCTTAAGAACCTTTGTACAAGGTAATGTCAATGAATAAGGTAATAGTTAAGGCATATGGCAGTCTATTATATAGAGCATTAAGTGGGGGATTCTAATCAATTGTATATCCCAAAGGTAGTCACTCCTAGACTTTAGCTTTTCCTTCTAACAAGTCAGATAATGCCTCTCATTTAGGAGGTAGGTAGATGAAAGGAAATCAGTGTCACTGTATCTGAGCCAAAGACTTTAGATTTCATGAGCAGTAATCTTAAGAGCAAGGAATTTGAAATATTCTTAGAATTCCTGAAAGTCTTTAACCCATCAGAACAAGAATTTAAATTCAGGAACAATGTTTGATTCTGTAACAGTTTTTTTTTTTTTTAATATTAGTTATAGTTTGCTAACTTTGTATCCCTGCTGTATCCGGCTCCCTCTTTCCCTCCCAACCCCACCCTCCCACCCTCATCTCCTCCCTGCCCCTTTCCAAGTCCACTGATAAGGGAGAACATCCTCCCCTTTCATCTGATACTGGTTTATCAGGTGTCTTCAGGACTGGCTGCAAAGTCCTCCTCTGTGGCCTAGCAGGGCTGCTTCTCCCTTGGGAGGAGGTCAAAGAGCCCGCCATTGAGTTCATGTCAGAAAAGTCCCTGTTCCCCAAGTGGGTATTAGGATACCCACTTGGATACTGAGCTACGAAGGGCTACATCTGAGCAGAGGTTCTAGGTTGTATCCATACATGGTCCTTTTTTGGAGAAACAGTCTCATAAAAGAACCCTATGCCCGGATATATTTGGTCCTTGTGGAACTCCTGTCCTCTCCAGGTCATATTTATTCTCCCTCCCCCCCCCCTTTTTTTTTTTTTTTTATTTCCTGCACTCTGCTGAAGATTTGGTTCTGAAACAGTTTTAATTTTAGGAAAAGAGCACAGAATTGGAGGCATTGTTATAGACTTAGAGATCTAAAACTATTGATCAAAGTCTTGGCAAGAAAAACAAACTAAGTTGAATTCACTTCTAAAGGAATCATGTAGTTCCAACAGAGCTTAATCTAGACTCTCCAAAATTTAGCTTATAGAAATTTTCAGAGAAACTAAGTTTGGACCCTCAAGAACTGATACCATTTTTCATTTGTATCACTTTATGAAAAAGAAGGAGAAAAGACCTCTGTTCTTCTAGTTTGAATGATTTATCTAGGAGAGGTAAATTAAGTAGACCTTTGAAGTTTTTCTTTGGTACAGACATTTTGGAGTCTAAAGAATTGAAAATAGGCTGAGACCTAGTGGGCTTCAATCACAACACTTAGGGAGGCAAAGATAGTGACTCTCTGAGTTTGAAGCCAGCCTGATCTACAAAATGAGTCCAGGACAGGGCTACACAAAGAAACCCCATCTCTACAAAAAAAAAAAAAAAAAAAAAAAAGCACAAAACAAACAAAAAGGAAAGAAAATTAAAGGGACATTATACATTTTAATTCCTATAAGCTGTAAATTGGTTCCTATAGTTTTCAGATTTTCTCCGCATCCATATCTATTTTGCAGAATGGGCACAGTTACCGGGCAGATGTAGTAGATCTCTTCCCAGGAACGTTTGAGGTCGTGGAGATGGTAGCCAGCAACCCTGGGAGATGGCTGATGCACTGCCATGTGACTGACCATGTTCATGCAGGCATGGAGACCATCTTTACTGTCTTGTCTCATGAAGGTGAGATCCAATTCCCCTAAGTATGTCATTTTTTAACCAACTGTGTAACCCATGGAAACCAGGTGATAGTTAAGGAGACACTTGAACTTGCTCTCCTGGCTACGAAGAACCAGGTTTTAATATAGAGGAGGGCTCCTTTTTAGTCATTTCCTCAAGCTTCATTTTCTCATCCTTCCTTGCAAGTGTCATGAGCTCACATAGGTTGGCCTAGCCTGAAATGGGGAGGGTTACTTTTTTTCTTCTGTAGGTTTACCACTCTTTGATAAAAATATAACTTACTTAAAAATCAATCATTTATACTGTAAAAGAAGTATTATTTCAAGGAAATCGCTAATGAATCTTTCTCTGATGTGGTCATTGTCAATAAAGACAAATGTGTGGGATTGGGAGGATGATGGCTGAATGGGAAACAGTGATTATAAGCAAGCACAAAAACCTAAGTTTGCAGCCATTGAAAAGAAATGGTATGACCTGTAAGCCAATATATATATATATAATCTCTCCTTCCTTCTCTCTCTCTCTGTCTCTCTCTTTATCTGTCTCTCTCACACAAACACATACACACCACTTATCCATACACACAAAACTGAAAATAAAATAAGTAAATAAAAATAAAAGCCCTCAAATTTTATAAGTCAGTCAATTCCAGCAGAACACGACAGAGATGCCCAGATACTCCAATAGTAAATTCTTAGAGGAGAGTATACCCAGGTGAAAATTGCACTGCTGCAGAAGGCTAAGGCTACCAGATGTGAATTTTCCCTTCCTTACAGCATTTCATTTACATACTAGCCATGAGAAAATTGGCCTAGTCACTTCTTTACCGGAAGGAAAGTTTTATTTTTAATTATAATTTTTAACTTTTTTATATTAATTACAGTTTATTCACTTTGCATCCCAGCTGTAGACACCTCCCTCATTCCCTTCCAAACCCACCCTCCCTGCCTCATTTCCTCCCATACCCCTCTCCAACTCCACTTATAGGAGAGGTCCTCTTCCCCTTCCATCTGACCCTAGCTTATTAGGTCTCATCAGAACTGGCTGCATTGTCCTCCTCTGTGGCCTGGCAAGGCTGCTCCCCTCTCAGGGGGAGGCTGTCAAAGAGCTAGCCACTGAGTTCATGTCAGAAACAGTTCTTGTTCCCTTACTACGGTACCCACCTGGAGACTGAGCTGCCATGGTCTACATCTGTGCAGGGGTTCTAGGTTATTTCCATGCATGGTCCTTTGTTGTAATATCAGTCTCGAAAAGACCCCTGTACTCAGACATTTTGGTTTTGTTGTTCTCCTTGTGGAGCTCCTGTCCTCTCCAGGTCTTACTATCTACCGCTTCTTTCCTAAGATTTCCTGAACTCTGTCCAAAATTTGGTTATGAGTCTCAGCATCTGCTTTGATAAACTGCTGGGTAGAGTCTTTCAGAGGCCCTCTGTAGTAAGCTCCTATCGTGTTTCTGTTTTCTCCTTCTTTCGAGGTCAATCCCATTTGTCTTTCTGAGAGATAATTACCCAGGGTCCTCCTTCTAGCTCAGCTTCTTTAGGTGTACAGATTTTTGTAGGTTTATCTTGTATGTCTAGTATTCTCTTATATGTGAGTATATACTGTGTGTGTCTTCCTGTTTCTGGGATACCTCACTCAGAATGATCTTTTCTAGATCCCACCATTTGCTTGCAAATTTCATGATTTCCTTGTTTTTAATTGCTGAGTAGTATTCCATTGTATAAATGTACCACAATTTCTGTATCAATTCCTCTGTTGAGGGACATCTGGGTTGTTTCCAGATTCAAGTTATTACGAATAAAGCTGCTACAAACATGACTGAACAAATGTCCTTGTTGTATACTTGAGCATCTATTGGGTATATGCCTAGGAATGGTATAGCTAGATCTTGAGGAAACACTATTCCTAATTGTCTGAGAAAGCACCAGATTGATTTCCAAAGTGGTTGTACAAGTTTACATTCCCATTAGCAATGGAGGAGGGTTCCCAATTCTCCACATCCTCTCCAGCATGTATTGTCACTTGAGTTTTTGATCTTAGGCATTGTGATGGGTATGAGGTGAAATATCAGGGTCATTTTGATTTGTATCTCCCTGATGAATAAGGACATTGAACATTTCTTTAAGTGTTTCTCTGCCATTCTATAAACCTCTTTTGAGAATTTCTTGTGTATCTCTGTACCCCATTTTTTATTTGGATTACTTGATTTGTTGCTTTTTAACTTCTTTAGTTCTTTATATATTCTGGATATTAACCCTCTGTCTGATATAGGTTTGGTGAAGTTCCTGTTCCAGTCTGTAGGCTGTCATTTTGTTCTGATGACAGTGTTCTTTGCTTTACAGGAGCTTTTCAGTTTCATGAGGTCCCATTTATTGATTGTTGATCTTAGAGCCTGTGCTGTTGGTGTTCTATTCAGGAATTGTTTCCTGTGCCAATGAGTTCTAGGCTCTTCCCCACTTTTACTTCTAACTGATTTAGTGTGTCTGGTTTTATGTTGAGATATTTGATCTACTTGGACTTTAGTTTTGTGCAGGGTGATAAATATAGATCTATTTTCATTTTTCAACATGTAGACATCCAGTCAGACATCTAGTTGAAGATGCTGTATTTTTTCCATTGAATGGTTTTAGCTTCTTTGTCAAAAATCAAGTATCTGTAGGTATGTGGGCTTATTTCTGGGTCTTCAGTTTGATTCCATTGATCGAAAATTCTGTTTCTATGCCAATACCATGAAGTTTTTATTACTATTGCTTTGTAATACAGATTGAGATCAGGGATGGAGATACCTCCAGATTATCTGTTGTTGTACAGGATAATTTTGGAAATTCTGGGGTTTTTGCTTTTCCAAATGAAGTTGATAATTTTTCTTTCAAGGTCTGTAAAGAATTATATGGGTATTTTGATGGGAATTGCATTGAATCTGTAGATTGCTTTTGGCAGGATGGTCATTTTTACTATGTTAATCCTACCGATGCATGAGCATGGGAGATCTTTCCATATTCTGATACCTTCCTCAATTTCTTTCTTCAGAGACTTGAAGTTTTTTTTTTGAACAGGTCTTTCACTTGCTTGGTTAGAGTCACAGTAAGGTACTTTATGTTATTAGTGGCTATTGTGAAAATTGTTGTTTCCCTGATTTCTTTCTCAGCCCTTTTGTCTTTGGTATACAGGAAGGCTTCTGATGTTTTTGAGTTAATTTTGAATCCAGCCACTTAGCTGAAGGTGTTTATCAGCTGTAAGAGTTCCCTGGTAGAATTTTTGGGGTCACGCATGTATACTATCATATCATCTACAAATAGTGATACTTTGCCTTCTTCCTTTCCAATTTGTATCCCCTTGAACTCCTTTAGTTGTCTTATTGCTTTAGCAAGGACTTCAAGTTCTATGTTGAAGAGATATTGTGAGAGTGGGCAGCCTTTCCTTGTCCCTGATTTCAGTGGGGTTGATTTAATTTTCCCTCCGTTTAGTTTGATGTTAGGTATAGGCTTGCTGTCTATTGTCTTTATTACATTTAGGTATGTGCCTTGTATCCCTGATCTCTCCAAGACTTTAAACCTGAATAGGTGTTGGATTTTGTCAAATGCTTTTTCGGCATCTAAGGAGATGATCATGTGGTTTTTCTCCATCAGTTTGTTATATGGTGGATTACAGTGATGAATTTTCATATATTGAACCACCCCTGCATGCCTGGAATGAAGCCTACTTGGTCATGGTAGATGATATATTTTATATGTTCTTGGATTCAGTTTGCAAGTATTTTATAGAATATTTTTGTATGTATGTTCATAAGAGAGCTAGGTCTGACGTTCTCTTTTTTGTTGGGTTTTTGTGTGGTTTAGGTATCAAGGTGACTGTGGCTTCATTGAATGAGTTTGGTAATGTTCCTTCTCTTTCTATTTTGTGGAATAATTTGAAGAGAATTGCAGCTAGCACTTCTTTGAAGGTCTGGTAGAATTCTGCACTGAAACCATCTGGCCTTTTGGTTTTTTTTGTTTTTTGTTTTTTGTTTTTTTTGGAAGGGAAACTTTTAATGACTGCTTCTATTTCCTTGGGGAATATAGGAATATTCAGTCTTTCTTCCTGATCTTCATTTAATTTTGGTTAATTGAATCTAATGAAAAATTGTCCGTTTCACTTAGATTTTCAAATTTTGTGGCATATAGGCTTTTGTAATGAGACCTAATGATTGTTTAAATTTCTTCAGTGTCTGTTGTTATGTCCCCCTTTTCATTTCTTATTTTGCTGACTTAGATAGTTTCTCTGCCTTTTAGTTAGTCTGTCTGAGGGTCTCTCTATCTTGTTGATTATTTCAAAGGACCAGCTCCTCATTTCATTGATTCTTTGACTTGTTTTATTTGATTCTAGTTTATTGATTTCAGCCCTGAGTTTGATTATTTCCAGCAATCTACTCCTCTTTGGTTTGTCTGCTTCTTTTCTTTCCCTAGGGCTTTCAGGTGGGCCATTAAGTTGCTTGTATGAGATGTTTCAAATTTCTTTATGAAGGTGCTTAGTGCTATCAATTTTCCTCTTAGCACTACTCTCATTGTGTCTCATAAGTTTGGGTATGCTGTGCCTTCATTTTCATTGAATTTTAAGAAGTCTTTAATTTCTTTATTTCTTCCCTAACCCAACTGTTATTGAGTAGGGAGTTGTTCAGTTTCCATGTATGTGTAGGCATTTTGCTATTTTTGTTGTTGTTGCGGACCAGCCTTAGCCCATGGTGGTCGATAAGATACAAGGGATTATTTCAATCTTCTTGTATCTGCTGAGGCTTGCTTTGTTACCAACTATTTGGTCTATTTTGGAGAAGGTCCCATGAGGTGCTGAAAAGAAGGTATACTCTTTTGAATTTGGGTGAAAAGTTCTGTAGACATCTATTAGGTCCATTTTATTTAGGACTTCTCTGAGTGCCTTTATTTCCATGCTTAACTTCTGCCTAGATGATCTGTCCCTTGGTGAGATTGGAGTGTTGAATTCCTCCACTATTAAGGTGTTGGTATCGATATGTTTCATTTACAGATTTAAGCGCTCTTGTATTTGTGGCATAGGTGTTCAGAATTGTGATGTCCTCCTGGTGGATTTTCCTTGGATGAGAATGAAGTGCCACTCCTCATCTTTTTGGATTAATTTTTGCTGAAAGTCCATTTTGTTAGATATTAGGATAGCTACCTCAGCTTGTTTTCTGGGTCCATTTGCTTGAAAAACATTTTCCAACCCTTACTCTGAGGTAGTGTTCATCTTTGTTGCAGAGGTATGTTTCTTGGGTGTAGCAGAATGTTGGATCCTGTCTCTGCAACCATTCTGTTAGTCTGTGTCTTTTTATTGGAGAGTTGAGTCCATTCATATTGATAGATAATAGTGACCAATGAATGTTAGTTCCTTTTATTGTGGAGTTGGTGTTACTATGATTCATTGCTTGTTTTCTTCTAATTTTTGTTGTGAATGTTATCTGTATCCTATATTTTCTTGGGTGTAATTGTTTTCATTGGATTGGTGTTTTCCTTCTAGTATCTTCTGTAGGGCTGGGTTGCTGTGCAGATATTGTTTAAATTTAGTTTTGTCATGGAATATTTTGTTTTCTCCATCTATGTTGATTAAAAGTTTCACTGGGTAGAGTAGTCTGAGTTGGTGTCTGTGGTTCAATTTAACATTTTAATATCGATTTTTACTGATTAAATTTCTTATCTGACAGCTTCCTGAATGTTTATTAGTATATTCTGATTACTCACTCCGGCTAAGAGATGGCTCAGAGCTTAAGAGCATTGGCTGTTTTTCCAGGTGACTCAGGTTCTGATTATTCTCTCCCTCTTTAACTACCTTTTTCCCTATCACCCTCCTGCAAACAGTTTCTTTCTCAGATTCATGACTTTTATGTTGGTTTTGTGACATTCAGTTTAATCACAGCCACCTGTACGACCATTGAATTGGAAGTATTTGTTAAAGCCTGGTGAGATCATCAGTGAGTACTTAACTGGAGGAAGTGGTTTTCACTCTCCCTGAATCTGTCTGTAGCAATGTCCAGCCATGATGGGTAGAGACCTCTGAGGCCCTCCTCCATTTATGCTTGACTGTTGACAGTACCATTCTTGGACAGACTCAGTGCAGTGAGTGTATCTTTTTCAGGAGATTACATTTGGCAACCCTTCTCTATATCTTCCAGGACTTAAATTTTTTGTGATACTTTTTCCGCAGTGTTCTTCAAGCCTTACAGTAGATAGTATAAATGTACTGCTAAGGGTTAAGCACCCTGTGCGGCTATATGCCTTGGCTTTCATCGTTGTTCACAGGAAAGTGACTCTTCTTTCCTTAAGGCTGAGAAAATAATATATCTATAAGAATAAATGTAACCATTTAAGAGGTTGCTTGATGCTATGTTAATTTGCTCAACAACAGTATTCTGTACTGGTTACCACACAGGTCCTATGATATGCCCTGCTATGTTTTTTTTTTTGTTTTTTTTTTTTTTTTACTATGTTTAAAGTAGCAGGGTAGCAGGCATGGATTTCCTTGCTGTTAGAGCAGATTTCAAATCCAAAATCCAATCACAGAGACTTTAACAAAGAAGCAAATTCCAAAAGAACTTGCTTTTAGTAATGTAAATATCCTATAGAAATCCTATAGATTAGTACAAAGAATAATAGGGTCAACCTCTTTTCTTTTTCCCACAGAACATTTCAGTACTATTACTCCCATTACCAAAGAGATTGGAAAAGGTATGTATAACGATGTGTATACACTAGGAAGTTACATGTGGAATGTGTATGTGTGTGTGTGTGTAATGTGATACTTCTAGCATGACTAAACTTGGGCACCATAATATAATACCTTAAGATTTATGTAAGATGTCTGATACCAGAGAACTAGGATTCAGTTATCTTCAACATGTTTCTTTGTCTCCTTTGTTCCCCATTACCTTTGGAGCTTGGGAAAACAACCATACCCTCAGATAGAAAGCTGTGTTCCTAGCCCATAAACTATTAGTGAGGGAGAAGAAAATTCTAAATCCTGCTGGGTAAGACATGAAAGAGTTATGGCAGAAACAAGAATTCCTACATGGACAATATGAGACTAGAACAAATACCAAATATCCATCAACAACTACTTTTATTCTTTTCTTCTTTTATCTATGGAATACCAAGTAATTGTCACTTGGGGTCTATTCTAATAAAATATGTTTTTCCTATAATGTTTAGGTCAAAATTATGCTTTCATTTTTTGTTCCTTATGCCTTTTACCAGGAAATATTCAGAAAATCATGTGAAGTACAAGGACGATTAGACCCAGGTGTGCTATCATGTCTGATATCCCCATATCCCTACACTTTGGTAGTAGGGCATGAGAACCATAGGCTCCAGGCAAGACTAGACTCATATTGAGACTGTGGCCCAAAAGATTTTTTTAAAAAGACACTAAGGAATATCAATTTACTCTGGACATTTTCAGCTCTACTAAAACCAACTTCCCATTAGTAAATTCCTAATGACCTATAGAAGTTTCTCATGAATTGTTAACCATGGACTGGGGTATGTCCAGGAGAGGTAAGTAAAAGGTAAGATAACATTGAAAAGACAGTGCCTGAATTATATTTCTTTCAACTCAAGTAATCCAAATATTTACACATTTATCACTTGTTACATATGTATGTTTGGATATACAGACATATGTAAATATGTATGTATGTATGTATATGTATGTATATTTATATTTGTGCATGTTCAAATGTATATATTCAGTATATATACATATGAATATACATATATACTATGTGTGCGTATTTATTTATTTATCTATCTATTTATTTATTTATTTATTTATTTATTTATTTATTTATGTTTTTCAAGATCGGGTTTCTCCGTGTAGCCTTGGCTATTCAAGACTCACAGAGATCACCTGCTTCTGCCTCCCTGAGTGCTGGATTACAGGCATATGCTATGGTACCTGGCTATGTGCACTTTTCATAAACTGTCACTTGAGGAAAAAACTGTCAAGATCTAATACAGCAAACTAATTTTCTAAATTCAAAGTTTGTTCAGGGTCACAAGAGAAAAACATGCCAGAATATAAATTCAGAACCAGAATGCTGTTCACTTTTATTTGAAGTTATTTTTTTTTCAGTTCTGTGAAAACATTCATTCATCCAATGCATTCATCAAACAAGTGTCAATTACCAAGGACACACACACACACACACAAATAAGACATAATTGCTACTTTCCACTGCCTAAAAAGAATGAGACTCTGAAACAATAATTGTAATGGTAGAGGCTGTGCACAGAAAAGGTAAACAGCAATACTATCTTATAATTATTGTATATTTGCTGTTTACCAGGTGCCATGCTAAATACTCCATGTATATTTTAGCTCATTTAAATTTGATAATAATCCCCTTTGTTAGGCATGGTCGTCATCACCTTCATTTTACAAAAAGAGTAAACGAAGATTCATTAGGGATTCAGTCACTTAGCCCCAGATTACAGACAAGATAAACCATAGATTCAGAAAGAATGAATGCAATTTGGAAACCTAGAAGAAGGCACCATTAATTGTACAAATGAATTGTACTTGGTGCTAGAAAAGTGAGAAAAAGGAAGAAAGTAGTCAGGCAAAGTAAGAAACATAAACAAAGAATCTATAAAAGTACCATCAATTATGGGAAATAAAGATTGGGTTTCAGTGGCTAAATAATAGCAGGTAAGACTAGAAAGATAGTTTTGAGTCTGACTGAGAGCACTGGAATTTGTGACTTCAAATTCTGAGCTTTGCCTTGTAGATCATTTGAAAACAATGGAATGTTTGTATGACATAAACTATCACAGTCATTAGGAAAGATCGATATGGAATTACTATTAACATGATCCACAAGAGACCATACAGAATTAAGGCAAGCTGTCACAGTCTAATGGTCAAAACAAGCATTGATTAGCTGAATTTGACTCAACATTCTTCACGAAGTTTCACTTATTTCTCCTAGTTCTGCCCCCCTAAGTCTATGTAGACCAAGTTTAATTATTTATTTATTTTTCTATAGCACAAGATTTTAAGTATTCTTCAGTGACCCTTAGGTCTTCTCATGGGCAAACAGAATAGGTATATCTCTGATTATCAAGAAGAGCGTCCAGCTGTGATATTATGATTATCTGATCATAAATTTAAACTCTATTTTTAATAGCTGGTATTTTGAAAGATGGAGACAAATCTTTTGTCCTCATGGGCTTGTTTTTCTCTAGGAAATTTCTGTAAAAGGTAACCTCATGTATGTGTATCCCTTTTCTCTTCCTCCATTTCAGCTGTGATCCTAAGGGACATTGGAGGAGGAAGTGTGAAGATGCTGGGCATGAAGATCCCCATAAAGAATGTTGAGATTGTGTCTTCTATTTTGATTGCCATATGTTTGGTTCTACTGCTCATTGCTCTGGCTCTTGGTGGTGTAGTCTGGTACCAGCATCGACAAAGAAAGCTTCGGCGCAACAGGAGGTCTATTCTTGATGATAGCTTCAGGCTTCTCTCTCTTAAGCAATAATAGCTGAATCCCGAAGATATCATCAGAAAACACATCTGTTTCTAGGAAGCTGTGCAGTAACAGGAAACTCTTTTCTCAGAGTGTGAGAGGTTATGAAGAGGCAGAGGATGGAATCAAAATTATCTGTGTATTCTTTATTTATTTATGTGGAAATCATTATGCTTTCTTTATTTTCTTTGCCATCTGAGGCAGTTCTTTTGTATACAAATTTCAATAGCTAAGATATGTCACCCTTCAGTACTGGAAGGTACAGAAATTCCTAGGACTTAATCATTCTCACAGAATATATATCAAGAAAAAGCTATCTAATTAGGTTTCTAATTCCTGTACCTAGATAGACAAGTAGACTTTTAATTGAAGCCAAATGATGAGCCACAAAAGTAACCCATAACTAAATAAAGGACCAAGAACATATGTATGATGAATTAGAGGTAGGGTGAGGAGTAGGAATCCAGATTTTACTTTAATTATCTTTGGCAATGGACTGTTGAAGAAATAAATGAATGGGTTGTGGTTATGAGTACCTGTGGAAAAAGGAGCACTTGTAAATCAGTCATTCACGTTTCTATACAGTGGTACTGAAGGAAATTTTGAGTGTCCTCTTCATGTTTGAGGTAGCAATCTTGTCCATTGAAGTACTTATTAAAAGACTAGAATACTGAGTTTGGTAATTTTGATGATTCCCATGCTTCTGGGAGGTGAGATTTCATTTTAAACAAAAGAATTTCAAGGCTCTGGGGAGACATCTTATAGATCTATATAACATTTGTGGATTCTGGAGATTTGTGTGCTGTTTCATAGTAAGTCTTCAAATCAGAGGGGTAACATCCTAGAGGAGAAGTTCAATGGATGCTAAATATTTTGGAATGTCAAAAAACATGGCCGTAGAAGGTACTGAAAAGACACCCCTACTTGTCTACTGGGCAAAGAGAGATAGGTGCATACATGGTAATTTAGTGGGAGGGGTGGCTATTGGAATATAAGAGGTATGTCTGCAATTTATACACCTCTTTATAGAACAGAATCCTTCCTTCCTGTGCCTTACAGCAATATCCCTTTGTTGCCACCATGTTTATTCCTCTCTGAAACTTTGTTCAGAAAGTACAGACAAGAAAATAGGAATGGCGTAAGATAGCCCATTCTCACCATAGTTTCCACATGGCAAATGAAGAACAGAAGGAACATCATGGAGAGTAATGATAGTAGCAATGGGATGGGGATATAGCTCAGTGGTAAAGTGATTGCCTAATATAAGAGGGTCCCTGGGTTGAAAAAAAAAGCAGCACAAAGGAAACAAAAGAGAAAACAAAGTAATAACAGAAATGCATAGTGATCTGCTTACATATAGCAAAGCATTCTAATTCCTGATAGATTGGACTTGCTTGGTTCATTAAAATGGAAATTAAATTATTTTACTTAGGGTAAAATTTTACTCAACTGAAAATTGAGTGGAGACTCAAATTTTCTTGTATTTGATTCCAAAAATGTTTTATTTTCCTTTGTCATGGAAACTTCTACTATTCTTTGTCTTTCTTTGCCACTTGATTTCAAATTGTGAGGTTGCCTAGCAACTTATATACTTAGTTAGCAACCAACAGTGTTCTTTTCCAGTTGCCATAAAATGTTGCTTGTTAGAGGGCAGAGATGAAAACAAAAACCAGAATAATGCATTTTGTGTGTTCATAGTCAGTGGCTTTCTGGAAAGTTTTTGAAAATCTAGGGAACATAGTTGTGGAGGAGCATATTAATTACTCATTATCTTGTTATAGAAATAATATGCCTTCTCAGTGAGAAATCACTCTGTACAGTTAGAGATAAAGTAAAGGCTCGTAACCAAAGTACATTTAGCTGACTGTGCCTAATACTCAAATAACAGTTGGCAATGAATGAAAGATTTTATTAACATATATACCTTAAGTTTATGCATCCCACAAACATGGTTATCCTTCAACCTCTTTTAGTCCTGGCCCAAGGTTACACTTTGAGCAATTTAAATTGTCAGGAGACTGCAAGTACTGAGGCAGATATGAGATTTATACTGCAAGATATTGCCATAATGTAAGTATTCTAGTGTTATTCCTTTTTGACTAGTTGTTTCCCAGGATCATCCTGCCCACACAGAAGAATTGTGACACTGTGAAACAGTAAACAGATTCCTCCTTCTTATATTCTTGCAGAAGCTATTTTAGATTTGACTAGAATTTGATCTCTTTGATGGAAAGTTCTGTGGAAAATTATTTAGCTCTGTCCTAGGAACCTGAGGTCAAGGTGCTCCAGCTAATTTATATTCACTTCTGTTAAACTGTCTGTTTGCACAAACCTCCCTGTCCAGCTAACTGCTTATCCTAGCTCCTGTTAAACTGCTAGCTTGCATAAAGCTTATCCCTGCAGCTGCTAAGGAAGATAGCAGGATATAGTTTTGCCTTTAAGATACTCTTACTCTAAATTTAAATACTATGCTTCAGTCCTGAATACCTGAGTGTTGTCTTAGCTGGCTAGAATAAAGACTTTCAATTGGCTATACACTGTGCCCAAGTAATTGCCTCTGGTGGGCTCCCTGTAACAGAATCACATTTTTCCTAATAGGAACATGGGGAACTTAATGGCAGACCAAAACTTAGTGATGGTTGTGGCCCTATGCTGTTCCAATTCCAGCTGCCCCTTAAAAGTATATCATTTGTATAGGAATGAGAGCCCAACGGCTGGTCATACTAAGTAAACATTCATACCCTAGCATCCTAAATTTTACTTATCTGTAACAGGCCTGGCAGACATGCTACTTATCTTTGAGTTATTTTGGAGGCAATGCTCCTTAGATTAAATTTCACTTGTGTGACTTAATTTTATAAGCAAACTTATTAGTAAGTCCTTTATAATATCAGTTTTTATCACATTAAGATTCTTCTACAACAATTCAAGTGTTAGTGTTTAAAACTTTTCAAATTGATATATTTAGAGACAGCAGAGCCCTCCCCCACCCTTTGCCCTGTTGTTTATGTGAATATTAATGAAAATCAAGTCTATCTTGGGAAATCCAGTCAATTAATCTTATAACTTACATATATCTGGGAAGTTTTTAGTATGAATACATAAGACTAGGATGTGTAGGTATGGCATGATGCATTTAAAAAGGCTTATTTTTAAAATTAATTTTAACTGTGTATGTGTGTGTCAGAGATGGAGCAAGGTCAGAGGCATCAGATCCCCTGAAGCTGGAGTTAACAGATAGTTGCAAGCCATTGAATATAGGTGTTGAGAATTGAACTCAGGTCCTCTGCAGGAGCAGTATTTGTTCTTAATCAATGAGCCATCTATGTAGGCAAGCATAACGCATTTTGTTCCTGTGAGTAATTCTGCCTCCAATCAAAATGGAATCTTAGCGTCTTTGTATTTTTGAAAAAGATGTATTTTTCACTGAAGTTGGTCCAAATATAGATATAGTGAGGCACTGTGCAAAAAAATAATTAGATAGAATTTCCATACTGTTCATTACTCAAAGCAGACATTTTCAACATCAAGACAATAGTGTGACTTATTTGCTTTCTCTCCAGGAATATCTTTATTTTTTTTCAACTATTTTGTTTCATTTATTATTATTGTAGAGTGCATTCTAGAGCATGTATGTGGAGTCCAGAAAACAATGTCTCACCCCAGACCTCACTGTAGGTTTCCAGGAATTGAACTTATGTTATCAGGCTTGCATAACAAGCACCTTTATCCAGTGATCCATCTTTTTTTTCTCTCATACATTGCACACAGAACAACATTCTCCCTTTTCTCCCAGCACCCCACTCACTCTACTCCTCTTCTGTTCCTCCCCGCCAAGGAAACAACAGTCTTCCCAGAGATATTAACCAAATATGTCATGTCCAGTTACAATTTAACTAGGAGCCTCCCCTCATATTAAGGGTGAAGAGGCAACCCAGTAGAAGGAAAAGGGATGCTAAAGCAGGCAAGCAAAAAAGTAAAAAACAGCTCCTGCTCCCAGTGTGACACCTCGCCAGACTCAAATATCTTTTGGTTTTTTCTTTGTTGATTTCTGCTTCAGTTAAAAGCTTAACCATTTGTTAGCTTTTGCATATTGTGGCTAATGCAGGTAACCCCAGCACTGAGCTATAAAACACCACAAGTTCAAAGTCAGCCTAGAGTACATAGTAAGTTCCAGACTACCCTGGGCTACTGAGTAAAATTGTTTCTCAAAACAAACAAGACAAAAAAAAAATCTCACAACTATTTGTTGCTTGGACTATTGTACTCTTTCTGTTGTTTATCTCAGATTCTTTCTACACTTACAATTGATTTTCCCACATGGAAAGGTGAGATTTCAAAAATATAATTAAACCACTAGTTTGAACAACATATTCTACGTTTAGATCTCCCTGAAGATAAGTAGAACCTGGAGATAATTAAAGAGCCAACAACAGAAAGAGAAAGGAAATCAGTAGACAGGGCAACAAGGCTGAAAATGTAATATGTTAGTTTTGCATCATATAATTCTCTACCCAGAATAGCCAAGTCACAGCATTCAAACAAACTAACTAAACAAAACAAACCAAGGTGAAACATAATCATGGAAATAGTCAAAGAGTGACAGTGAACTGGGTGACAGTGAGCATCTTTTAGTAATCCTGGAAGCTGGAAGGAAGTGTCATAGTACTTTTCAAGTGAAGAAAGAAAAAGATTACCAAAGCCAAATATCGCACACACACATAGGTTTAACACTTGGAATACAGATTAGGGAAGACTGGAAGACTGACGTTTATGGTCAATTTAGACAACGTTGAAGGTTTGAAGTTAGGTTAGGCTACAGACTAAGAAGCTGACTCACTCCATTATTCAAAATTATATATCTCATGAAGAGTCTGCATTTTCTAGACTTGTATATTAATACAATTCTTGTACTATGTACTACACGGTCTGGCCTTTTTTTGTATGTATTGACATCTTATTTTTAAAATGATTTCTGAGTTATTTTTTATTGTATAGAAATAATGTATTTTTTTCAGTTCTCTTATTGTGGACATTTGAGTTGTGCTTATCAGAAAAAGGTGCATTGAACATCCATGTTAAACAAAATTAAATGATATTATTTAGCATACAATAAAGATTGTGTATAGACAAATTCAAATTAAAGCTTTTTGTTGTTTTTTTTTTTTTTTAAACTACAGTGTATCCAAACTAGAAATCAGTAGCAGAAAAAAAAAATCAGGAAATACTTCATGGATAAAAGAAAAAGTCTTACTAGCCCTCAGAGTATGATTTTAAGTTGAGGTCTTTAGGCAAAAGAGACTTAAGTGCAGAATAGAACTTAATGATAATTGTGATCCTATCTCACCCCCATGAACAGCCCATTAGAGGTATGTCCTTAGAGATGGGAATCAGGGCTTAAGGGCTGACTGTTAGTCCAGGCTCACTCCTCTGCTATGAGAATGCAGCCTAATGATTGATCGATCCTGGTAAATAAACATTTCCATCCTAGAATCCTCAATTTCCCTTATCCCTAGCAAGCCTGTTCAACTTGGGTGATTAATGTCTCCCAAGGAAATCTATGAGTAAATCCTTTATAATACCAACTCTATTACTTCTACATCAATTATCATTATTTATCTTAAGACTGCTTGAAGAAAAAAGGTAAGCAAGTGCTATGAACAATTCCATGTCCATAATGTTGTCATCATACATGAACTATACAAATTCCTTAAGGTCAAAGACCAATTTTGACATCCAGGTTAAACTGAGCCAGGGCATGGATCACTCAGACTTTTTTTTTTCTGAAGGAACAATACTTGGTTCTCTGCTGCCAGCAAAATACTTCCTGGGGCCTGTGGGAATTTTCTGGGGCCAACAAAAAGGGTAAGGGAACTCTTTCTCTTTCTCTGTCTCTGTCTCTCTCACACACACATACACACACCATCGATGAAGCAAGCTTCAATAAGCTCTAACTACTTTACATACATATATATATACACACATACATTAAATGGATGGAATAAAGCTCCAACAAACTTTACACATACATAAATACATACATGCATATATACATATATACACATACATTTGATGGGTGGAGCAAAGCTCCAACAATTTTATTTTTTCTCCCACAACTTATACATCCTAACAAAATCTTTTAAATAGCACAAAAATCACAATGTCATTACATTCTATTCTTTAAGTGAATGATTACAATGAGTATATGTAAAAAAATATGTTCCCAATACCCTCAAATGTTAAAATGTTTTACATATTATGGGTGAAAAACAAATTATTCCCAAGAACGCAAATGTATTTGTAACCAAGCAACTTATTACTGATTAACAGTGTATAAGCAAACAAGGTAATTTTCTCAGACAGTTTCTCTTACTGACAGCAATTTGTGCTTACAAAAAAAGGATCAATCATTTTATTATTTATCTTAAAATTAATCTTATAAAATCTTAAGACTCACAAATCTAAACTCTTACATAAAAATGAGTCATTTCTACTATAAATATTCAGGGTGAACATCTTCTCATTAACAATTTTTTATTAAATCATATCAGGAAGCTAAGGGCAAAATGGGTACAAGAAATTAATCATTACCTTGATCAACAGCTCACCTTTAGCAAGAGAGACATGTCAGCCAGTACTAGTCAAGCTGTCACTGTTCTTGTTCTCTGACCTTAAAAAAAAAAAAAAAACTTGCTCAACTGTTACAAGTGCGCATTTCTGAACTTCAAATAGTTTCCCAAGATTTTCTACATCAAAACATCTTAACCCATTATTACTAACAATCTACATCTGCAAATTCTTCCTAAGTGTGATAGCTATTACTAACAATCTATATTTCTAAGTCCTTTCTGAGGGTGGTGAATGAATCATTAATCTGCTCTAGCAGCAATGCTTGAAAAAAATTAGTCACTATTATTGTAAGTGCCAATGATACTGCTTAGTGAGTGATTGGAAACCCCTTTAGAGTTTTCATACAACTCATAGATTAGGAGGAACTTAAGGGCAACAAGCAGAACAAAACTCCATAACAGCATAAAGTCCTCAAGAATCATAGTCTTCAGGTCTCTAGCTCTTCAAAGCATACCCATCATGAATGTACTAACCAGTGGAACACATTCCATGAGTTCTAAAGCCATTTGTTGTTCCTCTTGCACAGCCCCCAACACCTTAAAATATACAGTCTAACAAAATTCACAGCAGAAGAAATAGACAATTTGAATAATACTGTATGCATTTAAAATTAAGGAATAGTTAGTAATATTTCAAAAAAAAAAAAAACAATGGATATAGATAAGTGCCCTAATTAATCCCAGCAACTATTTAAAGAAGCAGTTGTATCAGTTCATTACCATCTCTTCCAGAACAAAAACTACTTCCTATTTTATTCAAGTCAACAGAATTATAATACTTAAAATACAGGAGAAACTTGAAGTGGAAAAAAAAGATAGATTAAAGGTCTTACTAATAAAGTTCCTTAGGATATATTAAGTTACACACAGTAAAACTGGGCTATATTTTAGGTATACAAGGTTAACTCAACATTTAAAAATCAGTTAATGTAAATTACTCCATCAATGGCCTAAGGAAAAGGTCATATACTGTCAGTGGTTGCAGAAAAGTTAAGTCAAATATCTATACACAAATTCATATAAACACAAGCAAACTAGTAATAGAGGGTACCTTTCCTACTTTATTAAGTAAAGAACATCCACAACATCTTACACCTAATAAAACAATGATGAGAAACTAAATGTTTTTGTATCAAGATCAGGAATAAAGAAAGTGTATCTCCCCTGACTATGACCTTGTATATAATACTGATCTCCCTAGTCAACAGAATAAAACAAGAAAAGAAAAAAATGTACAAATCAGGAAAGAAGAAATAAAATTATCTTCCCTTTGTCTGGTTATATAAAAAATCTGAAAGAACTGGAAAAAAAAACTTTAAAAGGAAAAGATTCATTTTCAAAGTCTCGGGAAGATGACCCTTGCTACAGTGGAGGACCTCTTCTGTGACTCTGGTTTTCCAGCAAGTGAAAGGATGCATTTATGTGTTTCTTTTTCTGCCTCCTTGATATACACACAGCTTACTAAGTTATTCTACCTGCTCATTTCTGGTGTTAAAAATATCATGACCATATGGGAGAAGTCGAACAGACCCCAGTGCTTTCTTCTTACCCCTGGATTCGTTTAAGGGCCATATACATCTCTCTTTCACTGGAGAAAAGTCAAATTATGACTGCCTGACATTCATAAAAATGCATGGATGTTGTGACACTTGAGTAAAAACAAAGACTTTTAGGACTCAGCTCATAACATCATGGGGGAAAGCCTCCCTTGAGAAAGAGTCTTGTGTAAGGTCTGTAACCCTGTGAAGAGATTAAATAACTTAGAGTCACTGTGAAATTCATCTGGCTTTCTCTTGCCTTTATACATCATACTCAAAGGATAGTGTTAAGATTCTTGACAAGGAGAATTGCCACCAAGCCAAGAATTAAGCACTGAGTCATTAATTATCTAAGGGAGTACATTTTGTTGATCTTGAGGCAGTGCTCACTCAAATTAGAAGTATTTCAATATTTAATTGGCAAAAATATACCCATGGATTTAAAGTCTTCAGGGTCTTCCATTTTCTACCCTTATACATGCTATTTTGTTAGTATACTATTTTTGTGGAATGTATCCTTGTTCATTCAAATGCTGATTTCTCTACCCCAATATCTGGTTTCAATTAGGACATTGAATTGTGATGCTTATTCTATGCATCACCTGTCTCAAGTTTGTGTGAACATGCCATCATTTGTTCTCTTCATTGTCAATGAAACATCCAGCCAGTGCTGTGCAATGGAGAGAATAGGGTGGGACATCCTGGTCCAGAGGGGAGGAGAAGGAAGCTAGAGGGAAGGGAGGAGAAGAGAGATTGGCAGAAGGGGTCTTTGAACAATGAGGAGGGATAAACTGGACCAAAGATATGAATAAAAGTAAGTATAATGGGTGAAATCTGACTGGTAGGAAGCTATGAGGGCTTGGAGGTTTAGGATGGAGTAACTATTGCCCAACATTGTGCTCTAGGTTAATTAAATAAATCCTAGTCTCTGTGTGGTGATTTGGGTATACAGCTGGTTTAGGAATAACCGCTGGTTAACTAAAAGATTAATCAATAATAAATATTAATAACCCACAAAATGGCTCCCAATTAATCTGAATATCCACACCCTGTAAATCATACTTTAACATAATTTGGTGGGAAGGAATAAGCTCCTAGTAAAACAACCCAAATTTAAAACTTAAAAAACTCCCAGGTCAATTACTGTCTCTTTAAGAGAAACTCTTAAACTAGCCCAGGAGCAAAAGACAGCCTACTGTGGGCGGACCTGAAATTTAACATAACAAAACTGGCTGCTGCTACAGTTTAACAGGAGCGGTACACAAGCATGGCTTTCTTATACTATGGCTGGCTCAGCTCAGCAACCATGGTGGAAAAGAAAGGAACTAAAGGCAAACAGACCTCTAGACAGAGCTTGGCCTAAAACTACATCTAAAAAAAAAAAAAAAAAAAAAACCCATGGCAGAGGCTGTTTTAATCCCTTTTGGCATTGTTTTGGTTGTCATAGTCACGGATCTGGTTGTAACATGTTTAATGGTAATGGCTCTTCTCCATGCCTTCTCCAAGAAAGTTCAAGGAGAAAATAGAAAAATAACCCAAGGAATGAAATACTAACTTACAGACAATAAAAAGGGCACTCTTCCTAATAAAAAAAAAATAGATTAATAAAGGCTAAAATTCAAAGCTCTCTGGCAACACAATACTTGTCAGCTCTTTCTGGTAAGGGTTCACTAATTCACTGTAACAACAACTAAATTCCAAAAAATAACCAACTGGGCTTAGCTTGTTACAGACTAAATTGACACAACTGACCCAAAAATGTAAACTTTTCTTGTCTCTTTGCTTGATTTATTTTTAAAGGCTTTGAGTTACAATGATATAGATTTGAGATAGAAAATATTTAAACAAGTTGGTGATGGCACATGCCTTTAATCCCAAAACAAAATAAAAAGAAACAGGCAAATCTCTGAGTTCCAGATCAGCTTAATTTACATAATAAAAGCCAGGATGGCAACTCCTGCTGTTTAGCCACTTGCAA